CAAGTCTTAAAGTTGCCAAGGTTGGACACCCCTGCACTAGACCAAAGAGGCACTTCCAATTCCATTCTCTTTTTCCCACCAATCAGTGAAAACTCAACCCACCTCTTCTCCCCAGTGTTTTCCCCACGAGTTCTGGATAATCCAGTATGATCCACTCCAGGTACCGCGTCGGATTTTACCTGCAACCCAAAAAGCACACCTGTAAACCGTAACAACCTGGTCATGGGTGCTCATTGCCTCCTAACCCCTCCCAAGAAAGCTATCGTGTTTTTGAAGGTCCATCTTTGCTAAATTGGACTAAAACATGAGCCTCTCAGCAACTTTGTTAGCTGCTCCCCAAATCCTAAGAGAACCTGAATTTGGAACTTGAATTTAGGTAGCTGCAAAACTTCAGCCTAATTTGGCGCGTTAAAACTTTCACCTTGTTCTAGGTTTGCACCGGACTTTGGATCCCGGTTAACGGGTTCACTCTCGTTAATAAAACTTTGTTTCAGGCAACAGAACCTCGTTCGCTTATTGCATGCCATCATCAACTAAGCAATTGTAGGCAGTCCCGGGTTTATGACCATTCTTGGAAGCAGAATTTCGGTTGCGAAGCAAATGTCTATGGAGATTCCTCGTCATCCAGGCCCTGGTTGTCTCAAAGGTGCTTTTTTCCCCCCCAGAGGCAACCGGATTTTCTGGATTTTCTTTGAAGACGTTTCGCTTCTCATCCAAGAAGCTTCTTCGTCTCCGAAGAGTTCAAGAAGCTTCTTGGGTGGGAAGCGAAACGTCTTCAGAGAAAAACCAAGAAGTCCAGTTGCCTCTTGAAGGAAAAGATAAAAGCACCTTTGGGTGTTGCTAAGCAAAGTGATTTTTAAGCAAATCTAGCTTTTCTCGTGAATTTTGCTTATGAGGCCGGCTGGGCAACTCACAATTGGCGATCGCTTGACCCTGGGACTCCGCAGCCTCTGTAAATCCACGCCAGTTGAATTTTGATCACATGAACTGGGGGGGGCGTGCTGCAATGGTCATAAGTATGAGGACCAGCCTTGCCACTTTTTTCTGTGCCAGTCTGACTTTGAATGGTCCTTAAACAAACAGTTGTAAGACAAGGACTTACTTCTGAGATTCACTCAGTAAGCTAAACATTCTCTCTCTCTCTTTTTTCCCCTCTGTCTTTCTCTTTCTTCTCTGTCTTGGTTTCTCTCTCTCTCTCTCTTCTCTGTCTCTTTCTTTCTCTCTGTCTCTCTATCTCCGTGTCTCTCTCTCTTCTCTGTCTCTTTCTCTCTCTCTCTCTTCTCTGTCTCTGTCTCTCTTTGTCTCTTTCTCTCTGCCTCTGCTTCTCTCTTTCTTCTCTTTCTCTCTGTCTCTGTCTCTCTCTTCTCTCTGTCTCTCTCTCTCTCCGTGTCTCTCTTTCTTCTCTGTCTCTTTCTCTCTCTCTTTCTTCTCTGTGCCTGTCTCTCTTTGTCTCTGTCTCTCTGCCTCTGCTTCTCTCTTCTCTTTCTCTCTGTCTCTGTGTCTCTCTCTTTCTCTCTGTCTCTCTCTTGCACATACTGATGTTCCTCAATTTACGACTGTAATGGAGCCCAAAATTACGATTGTTGATGCAGCTGTTAAGCAGGTCCACTACATGACCGCATATTGATTTTAGAATTGTTTTAGTGGAAATCATTAGACAACTGTGGTCATTAAGCGAACACTGTGTTGTTAAACAAATCCATTTTATTCGATGGCAAAACCTGTTGAAAATTCAGTGATTTTGAAGATGGGATTCTGCAAATCGCCATAAATGCAATCCAGTCGCCAAGCTCCCACAGTGAGATCCTGTGACTATTGGGGGGAGGGGGGGGCATCAGAACTTTGATATCGCATCAGGAGTACCTTCTGGTGGCCCTGACATAACTTCAGACAGTCGCTAAGCGACCGGTCATTGAACGAGGACTACCTGTATGGACTAAATCGGATTAAGATTCTAAGGTTAGGATGTTGGGTGATTGCAACCCTTCACAAACAACCCAACTGCCTTCAAATTGGTGTGATGACCCATCTCAAAACTGGCGGGATACTGAATGGGAGAATCAAGCCAGGATCCATGAACCCCAACAAGCAAGGAAACACAGCTTACCTTCACCGAAGCCAACAATTAGGACCGCGTGGTCAAGCCAGTTAGGGTCACAGCTCACCTTGGACCTCTGAATGATGCCCTTTCGGTAATGCTGCCCCACGGAGAGAATCCAAACAGACCACAATTAGCCATAGATGGATGGTCATTAAATCTCGGTTACCCCTCTAGGTCTCTTTGTTTCTCTAAGTCTTCCGGAATTAGTTCCAGTGGCCAAATTCACACGTTTCATCTGTATTTTGACCATTTTTTTTCTTCTTTTCCTGCAATTGAGCCACAAACTAACCCCGTGGCCTAGGTTTCTGCAATACAGGTAGTCCTCTACTTACGACCACAATGGAGCCCCAGATTTCCGGCGCTAAGCAAAACAGCGGTTAAGTGAATTTTACCCCATTTTTACAACCTTTCTCCCCACAGATCCCTGCAATTGTTAAGTTAGTCACACGGTTGTTAAGCGGATCCATCGTAAACATGAGTCCGTTGCCAAGGATCCGAATTCTAATCATGGGGAAGCTGGAAATGTCATAAATGTGAAAAGCGGTCGTAAATCCTTTTTTTTTTCAGTGATGTAACTTGGGTCACTAAATGAGCTGTTGTAACTGGAGGACTACCCGTATACAGGAGCTGGTCTGAGTTCAAATTAACTCAAGTTAGGGAAAATTCAGCCACAAAAGAACCTCGGCAGCGAATCGGGAAGGATGTCAGTTAATGAAAACGTTCCTTTTTTCCCCCCGAATTTTACCCCCGTTCTCACCTGCATGTTTTTTTGGTTTATCAAAGCTGTCACGGGACCCTGGGTGGCCACCACATTAGCAATATCTGGGAGAAAAAAACATCACAAATTAACATTTGGAAGTTTGGATAAGCAACAACCTAGAACAGCAAAATCAGGATTTTGGAGCGAAATTCATTTCCCCTCCCAAGTACAGGTTGTCCTGGACTTACAACGGCCCGTTTAGTGACCAAAAAAGGGACTTGTGGCCGTTTTTCACACTTAACGACCGTTGCAACATCCCCATGGTCAGGTGATCAAAATTCGCTTGGCAACGGGCTCATATTTATGGCGGTTGCGGTGTCCCAGAGTGCGTCATGGGATCAACTCCCATCAAGTCCCAGGGGGAAGTGTGATAGCAACTGCAGTGATTCACTTTAACAGCTGAGGAAGGAAAGGTCGTAAAACGGGGCAAGCCCCACTTTTAACAAAGGTCTTAATTAGCAACGTAAATTTTGGGCTCATTTGTGGTCATAAGTCCAGGTAGTCCTCGACTTACAACCATTGTCATTGCCAAGCCAGGCGGACGTGACATGAGTCACACCACCACCTTTTTTACCTCTTTGCCAAAGCGGTGAAGCAAATCAGCCTGGTTGTTAAGTGAACCACCCAGTTGTTAAGTAAACCCGGTTGTAAATAAATGCCGGTTGAATTTGGATCACGTGACGGTGGGAATCCTACAACTCTTGTAAATGTGAGGATTGTTTGCAAGCCACTGTTTTCAGTGCCGTTGTAACTTTCAGTGGTCACTAAATGAACGGTTGTAAGACAATTACCATCCTCTTTTAACGGCCCCATAATCCCCTTGAGGGGTGGAGTCCAAACAACTGAAAGGAGCTAACAAGAGTATTTGAATGGCCGGATGCCCTTCCTGTCGCCAGTGTGGAGTTTTGTTCAGCAGAAATATTTTCAGCGTGCCCAGAGAGAGAGAAATATCTACCTCTACCTAGGATTGAACTCACAGCTTCCTGATTGTGAGACGAGAGATCCAGCTCTAGGCCACAGCACCACAATGGTTGTAACACAATGACTTACCTGTATTAAGCCACAATGTTGTTTGGGGGTTTCGGGGGGGGGACGGGGACACATATCATATAACTGCACCTCTCGCATTTAAATGGGTTGAACATGTAAAAAGAGACTGTCTACTTGCAAATAATGTTTTTATTCTTGCTCCAATTTTTCCAAATGCAAAAAGACACAACCCTACATTAAAAAAAAAAAAAAGAATCTTGAGTCAACCTGCTAATTTTTTTCAGGTGCCTCAAGAGGCTTATAATTCAGACGTCTCAGTCCAGCCCTTATCCAAAGACTTACATTTCTCATCCCTTGGAAGTATGCTGTAACCATCAATCTTGGTTAGTTTTCGCTTCTTGAATTTCTGGCAGCGGTGGTTTTCCCCAATGTAAGGGTAAAGTGTGCTTGGTGACAATCCACCTGGAAAAGAAACCGAGGATGGTTCACGAAAGTGGGTGGAGGAGAAAGACTTTTTAAAAAGTTTTATTACCGTTACCATTTTGGATTTTTCCTAACATCGGCAGTTAAGTAACTGCCTTGAAACTGTTTTAATGACCAGGCAGATAATTCGCTAACCACCTGCTGCACAAAATCCAGCCTTCAGCCTACAAGCAAGCCGAGTTGATCATCAAATAACAAAATATGAGAAGAGCTGCAGGAATTGGGTGTGTCTATTTTAATGAAAAGAAGGACAAGAGGTGACTTGATAGCAGAAGTTCAATATTTGAGGGGATACCCCAAAGAAGAAGGGGGTCAATCTATTCTCCAAAGCACCAGAAGGCAAGGCAAGAAGCAACGGATGGAAGCGAATCAAGGAGAGAAGCAACCTCGAATTATGGAGAAACTTCCTGACAGGAAGAACTATTAATCGGTGGAACAACTTTCCTCCAGAAGTTGGAGATATAATTGGAGGTTTTTAAGAAGAGGTTGGACAGCCATTTGCCTGAAATGGTATAGGGTTTACTGCTTGAGCTGAAGGTTGGACTAGAAGACCTCCAAGGTCCCTTCCAACTCTGTCATTCTGTAATTCCAAAGCAACTAAGGACAGGCCAAGAAGCAATGGATGGAAATGAATCAAATAGAGAAGCAACTTAGAACTAAGGAGAAATTTCTTGACAGAGAGAACAATTAATCGATGGAACAACTTGCCTCCAGAAGTTGGGCTCCATCACTGGAGGCTTTTAAGAAGAAATTAGACACCCATTTGTCTGAAATGGTATACGGTCTCCTGCTCGAGCAGGGGGTTGGTCTAGATGACCTCCGAGATCTCATCCAACTCTGTTATTCTCTTATCTCTGCCTCTCGGTTCACAACTCACTCACCTGCTCGCTCAGAGCCCACCTTGATGGGTTGTTGTGAGGCTCCAACATGGGTTGAGCCATCACAGCCCAGGCTCCAGCGAGGGGGAAAGAGTTGTGTGAACTCACTTAAAAGCTACCACAAAAGAATGCAACAAACTGGGATGTCCACATACTGTTGTTGACGACGTACTGAAACGCGTCCCAGACATAGCCCCCTAGGCAGCCTCCTCGGGAATGGTATGTGCAGTCGGTGACTTCTAGAATGAAAGAGAGAGAGAGAAAGATTATTTCGAAGAAGATTGTCGGACAGCGATGGAAGATGCTTGCCTTCCTCCAGTTCCCAAATCAGTCAGCCCTCTCTGCCACCCAACCTGTCCCCACTTCCCAATCTGAGTTTGCAGAAGACCATTGAGGGAACTACCCAATATTCCTCAATCTTGGCAAAGTTAATATGCATGGAGTTCAACTCCCAGAATCCCCCAGACAGCCTGCTTTAAGATGCATGGACTTCAACTCCCAGAGTTCCCCAGCCAGCCTGCTTTAAGATGCATGGACTTCAACTCCCAGAGTCCCCCAGCTGGCAGGCTTTAAGGGGTGGACATCATATCCCAGAATTCCCCAGACAGCCTGCTTTAAGATGCATGGATTTCAACTCCTAAAATTCCCCAGCCAGCATGATTTGAGATGCATGGACTTCAATTCCGAGAATTCCTCAGCCGGCAGGCTTTAAGATGGGTTGGACTTCCAACTCCCTTAATTCTCCAACTGGCATGCTTTAAGGGGCGGACATCATGTCCCAGAATTCCCCAATCAGTCTGCTTTAAGAGGGATGGTCTTCAACTCCCAAAATTCCCTGGCCAGCAAGGAATTCTGGGAGTTGAAGTCCACCCATCTTAAAATTGCTGGGATTGAGAACCCACTTGAATGAACCTTCCTTTGTCACCTACCTTCCCGTCATCGGACATACCTTGCACGGAGAGGCTGCAGTTAACATTTCGGTGAATCTTCCACAACGCCTCTATGTTGGAGACGGCCGCAAAGGCCCAACAGGATGCGCACTCTCCCTGGGGAAGAGATCGGAAACATTAAACTAGGATCTGGCCCATGTCCTCCCATTTCTAACCGCAGCTCTGGTATCCTAGGGCTGTTAACGGTGCAGGAAAATTCACCCTGCAGCATCAGTTGCATATAGCAGGTGTTGCAAATTTCACAGAAGAAAGGAAAAGCCATTCTTTATAGTTGCCGAGAGAATTGCATGAACTAGTCCGGGACACCACTAGCCTTCATCCTGGCCCTAGTCCAGCATTCTTTTAAGGTGGGTGGACTTCAACTCCCAGAATTCCCCAGTCAGCATTCTTTTAAGAGATCAGCTTGCTGGGAAATTCTGGGAGTTGATCTGGGGGATTCTGGGGATCGAAGTCCACCCCACTTAAACTGTCTAAAGTTGCAAAAATAACTACTCCAAGGACTTCGATTTAGTGGTTCAGGACAATGTCACTCAACAAGGCAGGACAAATCCATCTTTCCCCCTTCAACATCATCAAGGCTGGAAGATCTCCCTAAAATTTATGCTCTGCGTAAGTCACATCTATCACCACCAAAAGTCCCTGCTGGTTGAGAAGACGGAAATCGGCGTCCGATGTGACATGAGTTTGCGGAAGATAAGTTGGCAGCTCTCTCTGTCCACGCTCACCTGGTCCTTCACTGGAGACAAGCCCTTTTTTCTCCAGTCGCAGAATCGGGGTGCCCCCGTGAAGCTACGGGGCGGCTCCATCGGCCCAAACGGCACAGCCTTTGAAACCGGGTTTCCAAACTTCTTCGCAAACTCACTTTCTGCGTAGGGAAGAAAAGACATTCCGTATTATCCGCCTGTGGCTTGGGCTTATGACTCCAGTCTTCTCTAACCAGCCTGTGTCGTGAGGGCGGGGGATGAGGGGTATTGTAGTGGAGGAAGCATCCGGGAGGAGGTTGCAGAGTTTGGGCAACCTGGTTAATTTACTAACTTTCACTTTGCCAAAAGCGCTGAAGCTTAAAAAGGAGCCTAAGCATGAAAACTAAGATCGTGAGCCCTCTCAATTCCTGGCCAATAGATGGGGAAGAAATGGAGGTAGTGGCAGATTTTATTTTCCTGGGCTCCACTGCAGATGGGGACTGCAGGCAAGGAATTAAAAGACGCTTGCTCCTAGGGAAGGAAAGCTATGGCAAATCCAGACAGCCTCCTCAAAAGCAGAGACAAATCCCCCTGCCAACAAAGGGGCGTAGAGTCAAGGCTGTGGTTCCCCCAGTGGCAATGTATGGCTGGGAAAGTTGGACCATAAGGAAGGCTGAGCGCCAGAGAATGGAGGCCTTTGAACTCTGGGGCTGGAGCACACTCCAGCGAGTCCCTTGGACTGCAAGGCCATCCAACCGGTCAGTCCTAGAGGAGATCCACCCTGACTGCTCTTTAGAAGGCCGGATCCTGGAGAGGAAACTCAAAGACTTTGGCCACCTCATGAGAAGGAAGGACTCGCTGGAGAAGAGCCGAATGCTGGGAACGATGGAGGGCAACAGAAGAAGAAGAAGAAGGGGATGACAGAGAAGGAGGTGGCTGGAGGGAGTCCCTGAAGCAGTCGGCGTGAGCTTCAATGGACTCCGGGGATGGTAGAGGACAGGAAGGCCTGGAGGAACGTTGTCCATGGGGTCGCGATGCATTGGACACAACTTCGCAGCTAACAACAACAAGAAGTGTGAAAAATGGTCATGTCACTTTTTTTCCAATTCTGATTTAGGTTTGAACAGTCCCTAAATGCACTGATGTAAGACAAGGACTACCTGTTGATGCTGAAGACTTTCCCAGTTGGCCATCTGCCTAGCTGCCCTTCAGCAATTCACACCGGCCAAACATTTATTAAACAGACCAAGGAGAGGTGACCCACCGCAGGCGTGGGGTGGGAAAACCTGCCTTCTTTTTTATTAAGTTTTCTATTTTTACTCTTCCCCAAGAGGGAGACGTCCGTGTGGAATTTTCAGCCTCGGCTGCCAAAATAATTTGGCCGGCCTTGGGTGTTGTGTACCTACACACACACACACACACACAAAAGGAGTAGGAAGAAAGACGGGAGGGGCGGGGAAAGCCAATTCTTTTGATCCTGCGCGATAGCCTTGCGAGACTCGGGCAAAATTCCCCAGGAATTCAACTTTCTTGGACCGTTGGCTTGGTATTCCACCGAGTGCCAGCCAAATTGTCCCCCCTTCCAAGCTCATCCCTTCAACCGGGGTGAATAAAACACACTGCTTAAACACACAACGCTTGCAGTGCCCAAACAAAAGGACCATTGTGTGACCTGGCCGTCCCAAGCTGTTTCCTGCGAGCCACTGAGATAAGGGCAGCTTCCTACAACACGCTTCACTGTTTCAGTTTAACAAAATTACAGAGTTGGAAGTGGACCTTAGAGGTCTTCTAGTCCAACCCCCTAATCAGGCAGGAAACCCGATGTCATTTCAGGCAGGTGACTGTCCAGTCTTTTCTTATAAACTTCCAGTGGTCAAGCACCTACAAGCCATTCCACGGGTTAATTGTTCTCACTGTCAGGAAAGGTCTCCCTTAGTTCTAAGTTGCTTCTTTGCTTTGTTTAGTTTATTGTCTCGACTTCTGGTGCTTTGCAAAACAGAAAACTGGACAAGAAGCCCAGCTGCTTTTTGAAAAAATAAAGAGAGAGATTTAGCCATTGTGTCGATGCAACACGGCTGAAACTCCGTTGGTTAGATCTGCAACGGAGGTTGGATTCTGTGGTGGGCTCGTCTCTAAAACATCCTGCTTACCACAGTTGACACGGAGGCTCGCCCCCTTCTGCAGGACGGGAACGCTCAGCTCACCACCAGCCCACCACAAAGACAACTCGGGGTCTTTGTTTGCACAGGCGGTTCAACAGCAACACTTTCCAATGTGGAAACCAGGGCTGCGCGGTTTATTCAACTCATTTCACTTTATTGGGCCGCTGGCTGCTTTGGGAATGTCCCCTCCCTTCTGCCTCTTGGGCACCGCCTCCCCATCATAGAATCCTAGACCTGGAACGGACCTTGGTTTGGACTAGAACAGTGGTCGCCAACCAGTGGGCCCGGGACCATTGGTGGTCCGTGAGAAAATTTTGGTGGTCTGCAGAGAGAAAGCACCCCCCGAAAGCAATTAATCCAGACTGCACAGGAACACAAGGCTGCGCTGCCCACATGGCCCGCGGGAACACAAGGCTTGCGTCGCTTGCATTGTGAACAACACGAGGTAGTGAGGGGAGGGGGGAAAGGACGGAGGGGGGAATTTGCCCCACTCGCCTGGCCTGGCCACTGGGCTGCTTCTTTCCACTTCTTTCTTCTTCTGCATGCAAGGAAAGCAGCAGAAGTCTTTCTTTCCCCCCCCCAAACTCTGCCAGAAATGAGTCTTTGGGACCCTACAAGGCCTCCTGCACCAAGAGGCTGCACCGGCAAAGACTCATTTCTGTTGGAGTTTGGGGGAGAGAAAGAAAGACTTCTGCTGCTTCTGCTGTTTTCCTTGCATGAAGCCAAAAGTCTCTCTCTTTCTCTACCCCTGAGAACGGAGCTGGAGATGGTATCCTGCGATCCCAAATAAAAAACGATCGATCAGTAGGAAATCGGGGTGGGGAATTTTCCTCCAGACTTTTTTGGGGATTTCCCAGGGTCTCTGGTCCGCAGGATTTAAAATTATGGGTTTGGTGGTCCCTGAGGTCCAAAAGGTTGCCGACCCCTGGACTAGATGACCTACAAGGTCCCTTCCAACTCTGTTTATTGCGTGACAGGTTGTCCCTGACTCAACAATCATGATGATGCCCCAAATTTTCATTGATAAGCGAAGCATTTCTTAAGCTACTTTTGCCCCATTTTACAACCTTTCTCGTCGCCGTCGTTCAGCGTATCCCTGCAGCGGTTAACTTGGCCACCTGGTTGTTAAGCGAATCCGGCTTCCCCATTGACTTGGCTTGTCAGACGTTCGTGACCTCGGGACACTGTCATAACTATGCGTCAGTGGCCAAGGGTCTGAATTTTGATCACGTCACCGTGGGGATGCCACAACAGTCGTAAGAGTGGAAAATGGACGTAAGTCACTTTTTCCAGTACTGTTGTAACTTTGAACAGTCACAAAATAGATACAGTGTTAGAAGGGACCTTGTAGGTCATCTAATCCAACCCCCCCACGCCCCCCACGCCCAAGCAGGAGAAACTACACCACTTCTGACAGGTTGTAATTCAATCTCTTCGTGAAAGACTGTAGACTAGGTGAAACCAGGTTTAATAGCGGTAACTATGAGAGGGATCTTGGAGTCTTAGTGGACAACCAGCTAAATATGAGCCAACAGTGTGCAGCAGCAGCCAAAAGAGCTAATGCAATCCTAAATTGTATTAACAGAGGGATACAATCAAGATCAAGGGAGGTACTAATACCACTCTATAAAGCCTTAGTAAGACCACACCTAGAGTACTGCATCCAGTTTTGGTCACCACACTATAAAAAAGATGTTGAGGCTCTAGAAAAAGTACAGAGAAGAGCAACCAGGATGATGAGGGGACTGGAGACTAAAACATTTGAAGAACGGTTGCAGGAACTGGGCCTGGCTAGTCTAGGGAAGAGAAGAACCAGGGGAGACAGAAGAGCATCTTCCAATATTTGAGGGGCTGCCCCAGAGAGGAGGAAGGGGGTCAAGCTATTTTTTAAAGCACCCAAAGGCCAAACAAGGAATAATGGACGGAAACTGAAGAAGGAGAAATTCAACCTGGAAATAAGGAGAAACTTTCTGACAGTGAGAACAATCAACCAATGGAACAGAAGTTGCCGTTGGAAGTTGTGGGAGTTCCATCCCTGGAGGCTTTCAATGAGAGATTGGACTCCCATCTGTCAGAAATGGTATAGGGTTTCCCGCTTGGGCAGGGGGTTGGAATAGATGACCTACAAGGTCCCTTCCAACTCTATAAATCTATAATATCTAAGCAATCAACCCATGGAACAGAAGTTGCCTTCAGAAATTGTGGGAGCTTCATCCCTGGAGGCTTTCAAGAAGAGATTGGACTGCCATTTGTCAGAAATGGTATTGGGTCTCAGCACTTGGGCAGAGGGTTGGACTAGATGACCTATAAGGTCCCTTCCAACTCTGGTTATCTGTTATCTGAAAGCTTCCAGTCATGAAGCTCCCACAACTTCTGAAGGCAACTTCTGTTCCACTGGTTGTTTGCAAAACGAACGGCTGTAGGTCGTATTCTGCATTCTGTTATTCAGCATCCTTGAATAATCGCCCGCATTGATCAAACATTTCATTTCCCTTCCATCTTACCTGTCAAGTCACTGAAAGGGGTAATCCCATATTGTGCAGTCCCCAGTTCAGTGTCCTGCAAGACCTGGCTCGTTTCCATGTTCTGTACGAAGACCTTGAAGCGGTAAATCATCTCTAGGATGAAGAAATCAAAGGGACAGGAAACAGAAAGCCCCATTTAAGTTACAAACGTGGAACGCTTAGCTGATGTTAGACCCTGCTTTGTCTGCTTCTCCCCTTCCTGGGTAGCTGTGGTTTTAATATTTTTAGATTGGGAAGTCAGGTAACCATTCTAGAAGGAGAGAATTGCAAAGTCTTGTAGCCAAATCCTTTTCGTGTCCCTGTTGTTTTAACACCTCAGGAGTCAAAATAATTTTATTTTAGCTCATGGAGTGCACTGAAATGCTTCTACATTTGCAGCTGGACAGATGAAAATTAACACAGCCAAAATTTAATACTTTTGGAAAGGTGTTTTTCAACCCTGGCAACTTGAAGATGTGTGGTGTGGACTTTGACTCCCACAATTCCCCACCTGGCCTGCTTTAAGATGGGTGGACATCAATCCCAGAATTCCCCAGCCAGCAGTTTGGCTGGGGAATTCTGGGAGTTGAAGTCTGAATCTTCCAGCTTCCAAGATTGAGAAACATACTGCTCTAGAGAGCATCCACTTGGTGGTCTCAGATCTGCTTCTCTTCTTATTCAAGTTGCATTCACACATACTAAAAACATGGCTAGGTTCAACCTCTTCTGCGATTTTTCAGAATCCCATTTATTGGGCTAGGTTTAAGATGCAGGGTGCAGAGGGAGAAGCACAAAATTCATATATATTGCTTACCTTCTTGGCTGTTGTAGGTTTTGCCAAACTTCGCCATAAAATCCTGGAACTTCCCAGCCAGTTCCATCTGGAACAAACAACAGCACATTAAAAAGTTAACCCACTTCAGAATAAAAATATTGCAAAGACAAATTTCCACTTGCAGCCCAATTTTTGTTTTCTACCAACACAATGCTGTCCGTAGCTGTTCCGTCCATGTTATCCTTGTTAACTCTCTTTTATATATTTAGGAAAATTTAAAAAAAGGAAAGATCAGTTGAATGCAATTCCTGAAGCATTTCTTTCCTTGGCCAAAGAAGTTTCTATTTTTCTACTTTATTTTCAGGCTGCTTGAGAATTTATTTATTTTTTTAGATTTTTCTCAAAGAGGTTTTCTGAAGCTGGTGGCAAACTTACAGTAGCTTTCCCCGTTATTCTATCAACTTTGTAGCAGTCTGCATTTTCCAGTCTGCAAAAATATATAATTTCTCTCCCCCAATAATATGGAGAATAATAATTTCTCTCCCCAGAATAATATGGAGAATCACCGGAAAGCTGGGGAGAAAATTAAAGACTTTGATCGATAATTTATCAAGCACCTCTATGGGTCCAAGACAGATGTAGAACTGGAACCAAGAAGAAATTTCCTGACAATGAGAACAATTAATGAGGACCCAGATTGTTGGGGGCAATAGGCTGACTCTGTAAAACCGCTTAGAGAGAGCACTATAAAGCGGTATATAAGTCTTAAGTGCTATTGCTAGGTGCTAGTCAGTAGAACCACTTGCCTCCACAAGTTGTGGGTGCCATATCAGTGGAGGTTTCTAGCAAAAGATTGGACAGCCATTTGTCTGAAATGGGATGGGGTCTCCTGCTTGAGCAGGGGGTTGGACTAGAAGACCTCCAAGGTCCCTCCCAACTCTTTTGTTCTTCTGTTTTTCTGTTAGGGGCTGGAGGCTAAACCACACAACGAATGGTTAAGAGCACTAGGTATGTCTAGTGAAAAGAAGGACTGGGGGTGACATGATAGCAATATTCCAGTATTTGAGGGGCTGCCCCAAAGAAGAGGAGGGTCAAGCTATTCTCCAAAACACCTGAGGGCGGGACGAGAAGCAACGGATGGAAAGTCAGTAAGGAGAGAACCAACCTAGAACTAAGAAGGAATTTCCTGGCATTGAGAAAAATTAAGGCGTGGAACAGCTTGCTCCATCACTGGAGGCTTTCAAGAAGAGATTGGACAACCATTTGTCTGAAATTATGTAGGTTCTCCTGCTTTGAGCAGGGGGTTGGACTAGATGACCTACAAGGTCCCTTCCAATTCTTCCGTTCTGTTATTTTCTGCACAGCAAATGATTAAGCTGTTATCTAAAGGCAAGTTGCAACAATGATCAGAGATGCGGGGAGGGGGGGGGGAGGAATTTATAGCCATTTTCCTCCCTTTTTTCGACAGCCCCATTCCCTTCCCCTGTGTGTGGGGGGGTCTCCTCACCGTGCCCGGATCTGAAGGAAGGGTAAAGTTGGCCCGAAGAGCAGGCATGCATGCCACCCATAGCGTCAAGCCAGCGGCGAGTTTGGCCAGCCCCATCGCTGGTGCGTCTTGTCGCATCTGGGGTTTGTGGTGAAAGTATCGACAAGGGATGGAAAGAGAGATGAAGACCTGGGGGAGGGCATGGAGGGGGAAACCACAGCGACAGGAAAGCGAGGTGTGAATTTGAGCCCTCCCTGTCAAAAGCATGCAGACTGTTTTTCTCTCTTTAAAAAAAAAAACAACCAACAACTTGGAACTTTTGCAGTCATGGCTAAATAAATCGATCGGAGCATGAACAACAAAATATTTATCGTTACAAATTCTCAGTCATCCAGATAGCGTTGTCGTTGCAACTGGACTCATTTTTTTATGATTTAGTTTGAGGCGTTTGGCTGCTCTTCCGTAGAATATAGAATAACAGAGTTGGAAGGGACCTCGGAGGTCATCTAGTCCAGTGGTCACCAACCAGTGGGCCGGGGAGCACTGGTGGTCTGTGAGAAAATGTTGGTGGTCCGCAGAGAAATATCACCTCCAAAGCAATTAATGCAGGCTGCGCGAGAACACAAGGCTTGCGACGCTTGCATTGCGAACAACACGAGGTAGTGAGGGGAGGGGAGAAAGGGCGGAGGGGGGGGTTGAACTTGCCCCACTCGCCTGGCCTGGCCACTGGGCTGCTTCTTTCCACTTCTTTCTTCTTCTGCTTTTGGCTGCATGCAAGGAAAGCAGCAAAAGTCTTTCTTTCTCTCCCCCAAACTCCAACAGAAATGAGTCTTTGCCGGCGCAGCCTCTTGGAGCAGGAGGCCTTGCAGGGTCCCAAAGTCTCATTTCTGGTGGAGTTTGGGGGAGAGAAAGAAAGACTTTGGCTGCTTCTGCTGTTTTCCTTGCATGAAGCCAAAAGTCTCTCTCTCTCTCCCCCCCTGAGAACGGAGCTGGAGACGGTATCCTGCAATCCCAAATAAAGAACGACCGATCAGTAGGAAAACGGGGTGGGGGATTTTCCTGCAGACTTTTTGGGGGGATTTTCCCAGGGTCTCTGGTCCGCGGGATTATGAGTTTGGTGGTCCCTGAGGTCCAAAAGGTTGTCGACCCCTGTTCTAATCCAATCTCTGCTTGAGCAGCAGACCCTATATCATTTCCCTGGACAACAAATGGTTGGCCCATCGCTTTTTGAAAGCTTAACTACTTTTGGAGGAAGCTGTTCCAGTGGAGAATTTCTCCTTCGTTCCAGGTTGCTTCTCTCCTTGGTAAGTTTCCATCCGTTGCTTCTTGTCCTGCCTTCAGGGGCTTTGGAGAATAGCTTGACACCCCCCACTTCTTCGGGGAAGCCCCTCAAATATTGGGAGGCTCCTATCGTGTCTCCTCTTCATTAGACTAGACCCGCCCAATTCTAGCAACCGTTGTTTGTATGTTTTAGCTTCCATCCCCGGAGGTTTTTTTTAAAAAAAAAATCGCCTGAACATCCATTTGACCAGGATGGTAAACAGGGCAAGGGATGGCGGGGTGTGTGTGTGTGTGAGTTGGACTAGAAGACCTCCAAGGTTCCCTTCCATCCCTAGGGTTCTGTACTCCCTGTTCTCAAACACAAGCACAAACAATTCGCCTTGGCTGCAACGGGCTGCACATTCCTACCTGGGCGAGGTTCCCAAAAGATCAAAAGGGCCAGAGAACGGCCCCACCAACGCTCCGGCCTGAATCGGGGCTGGGCTTTTTTTGTGGTTTGTTTTAATCTTCAAAGGGGGATGCCCCCCATCCCTGGGCCCGCTAGCTCACCGATGCGCCCCTCCGCCTGGAAAAGCCTTTTGATGTGAAGACCTTGGGTGCAGGTGTTGGAAGGCGCTGTTTGTGAACCGCTAATCTCCTCGCCGCCGGCAGTGAGTGGCCCCACGGCTGCCTGGCCTTTTTCCACCCTCCCTCCCCATAGGAACATTCCTCCCCACGGACCTGGGGTGGGGTGGGGGGCTATTTATAGCGGATGGACAAGGGGTCTCTATTAGAGGAGGAAGGTCAGGCCAGAGGGGGGCAAGGGAGGAGGAGGAGGAGGAGGAGGGGGACCTGCAGGATTTCTTCTCCAGGGTTTACTCCCTGAATTTCAGAAAGGAAGGGCACAAGAACAGAGTTGGAAGGGACCTTGGAGGTCTTCTAGTCCAGCCTCCTGCTCAAGCAGGAAAGCCTGTTCCATTTCAAACACATTTTCCTTTCTTCTCTATCTTTTTCTTCCTTCCATCCCTTCCTCAATCCCTCTTTTATTTCTTTCCTTCTTCCCTCCCTCCTTCCCTTATGTCCTTCCCTGCTTCCCTTCCTCCCTCCCTTCCTCAATCCTTCCTTTTTTTCTTTCCTTCTTCCCTCCCTCCTTCCCCTTTGTCCTTCCCTGCTTCCCTCCCTCCATCCCTTCCTCAATCCCTCTTTTTTTCTTTCCTTCTTCCCTCCCCTCCTTCCCTTTTTCCCTTCCCTTCCTCCCTCAATCCTTCCTTTTCTTCTTTCCTCCTCCCTTCATTCTCTGTCATTCTCTATACATTCCCCCATGTGCTGATGCTTCCTTCAGGGCAAAGTCTGTGGAGATTCTCAGTCTCCCAGGTCCTGGTTGTCCTAAAGGTGCTTTTTTCAAGAGGCAACTGGACTTCCTTCTTTTTTTTCTTTCAAAGATGTTTCGCTTCTCATCCAAGAAGCTTCTTCATCTCCTTCCATTCCCCACCAACTTGTCAGAACTGAAGAAACTCCTTGGATGAGAAGTGAAACGTCTTCACAGTTACAGAGGTGCAGACAGTTATAGAGGTGCATGTGACAGACTCAATAATTCCTTCTACAGAGGAATGATTGAGTCTGTCATCTGCACCTCTACAACTGTCTGGTTCGGTTCTGCAACCCAACAAGACAGACACAGACTTCAAAGAGTGATTAGGACTGCAGAAAAAACAATGGCTACCAACCTGCCTTCCATGGAGGACCTGTATACTGCACGAGTCAAAAAGGGGGCTGTGAAAATACCTACAGACTCCTCACATCCTGGACATAAACTGTTTCAACTCCCTCCCTCAAAACACTATAGGGCACTGCACACCAGAACAACTAGACTCAAGGGGAGTTTTTTCCCCGAACACCATCACTCTGCTAAACAAATAATTCCCTCAATACGGTTTAACTATTTACAAAATCTGAACTACTATTACTATGACTCTTCTCATCACTCCTTATCACCCATCCCCTCCCACTTGTGACTGTATGACTGTAACTTTGTCACTTGTATCCTTATGATTTATATTGACTGTTTCCTAATATGATTTAATTGCTTATTGTACCCTATGACTATTATTAAGTATTGTACCTGATGATTCTTGACTCTGGACGAATGTCTCTTTTCTTTTATGTACACTGAGAGCATTTGCACCAAGACAAATTCCTTGTATGTCCAATCACACTTGGCCAATTAAGAATCCTATTCTATTCTATTCTATTCTATTCTATTCTATTCTATTCTATTCTATTCTATTTCTATTTCTATTTCTATTTCTATTTCTATTTCTATTTCTATTCTCTTATGATTCTTGACAAGTATACTTTATTATTTTCTTTATGTACACTGAGAGCATTTGCACCAAGACAAACTCCTTGTGTGTCCAAACACACTTGGCCAATTAAGAATCCTATTCTATTCTATTCTATTCTATT